TTTAGCAAATGGCTGCAATATAACAAAGAGTGAAAAATTTAAGGGGGTCTGAATACTTTCCGTACCCACTGTATATATGAGACAAAGCTGCACTAATTGAAAAGTATTACGTGTTAGACAATAATGAGTGGATGTGTGATCAGTGAGTGTTTCTGACCGTCACAGGTGAGGCTCATTCCTCCGAACACCAGCGGCCCGATGAACTGCGCCTTCATCTCTCCCTCGTGATAAATGAAGAGTGTGGGCAGGTTCCGGTCGGGGAAGTTGGGAATGCAGGTGCTGGAGATGGACTTCAGGAACTTAGTTTGAGGAAACTTCCGGGCCAGCTGAGACAGATGCTGGTTTATCAGAGTACACAGCGGGATCCTGAGCCAGAAACACAGATGCATGAGTCAGCTACACGCACTCTCTCACACACTCTCACACACTCTCTCACTCACACTCTCTCACACACTCTCTCACACACTCTCTCACACACTCTCTCACTCTCACACACACTCTCTCACTCTCACACACTCTCTCACTCTCACTCACTCTCACACACACTCTCTCACACACTCTCTCACTCTCACACACCCTCTCTCACACACCCCATCTCACACACCCCCTCTCACACACCCTCTCACACACTCTCACACACTCTCACACACTCTCACACACTCTCTCACTCTCACACACTCCCTCTCTCTCACACACCCTCTCACACACCCTCTCACACACTCTCTCTCTCTCACACACTCTCTCTCTCTCTCACACACCCTCTCACACACTCTCTCACACACTCCCTCTCTCACACCCTCTCACACTCTCTCACACACTCTCTCACACACTACCTCTCTCTCACACACTCCCTCTCTCTCACACTCCCTCTCTCTCACACACCCCCTCTCTCACACCCTCTCTCACTCCCTCTCTCACACCCTCTCACACTCTCTCACACACTCTCTCACACACTACCTCTCTCTCACACACTCCCTCTCTCTCACACTCCCTCTCTCTCACACACCCCCTCTCTCACACCCTCTCTCACTCCCTCTCTCACACCCTCTCACACTCTCTCACACACTCTCTCACACACTACCTCTCTCTCACACACTCCCTCTCTCTCACACTCCCTCTCTCTCACACACCCCCTCTCTCACACCCTCTCTCACTCCCTCTCTCACACCCTCTCACACTCTCTCACACACTCTCTCACACACTACCTCTCTCTCACACACTCCCTCTCTCTCACACTCCCTCTCTCTCACACACCCCCTCTCTCACACCCTCTCTCACTCCCTCTCTCACACCCTCTCACACTCTCTCACACACTCTCTCACACACTACCTCTCTCTCACACACTCCCTCTCTCTCACACTCCCTCTCTCTCACACACCCCCTCTCACACACTCCCTCTCTCACACCCTCTCTCACACCCTCTCACTCTCACACACACTCTCTCACACACCCCCTCTCTCACACACCCTCTCACACACTCTCTCACACCCTCTCTCTCTCTCACA